GAATTAGTACAAGAATCCTGGCAACAAATTGAGGGCTGAACTATAACCCGACTATACTTAGAATTTACTCGCAGGAGCGATGCAGATTTAGCAGGACAGATATCGAGACTGCACAGCACATCTTAGAAGGGTGTTCTAACCTTGGTATGAAGATATATTGTGGCGAATACTGCGGCAACGCGAAGGGAACAACGAGAAAATGGCAGAATCTTCGAGGAATGAAGTACAAAGTTCGACAGTGAGAAACGTCAAGTGGATGAATACTGCGAAAAGCGAGAGAATGAGAGAGTGAGCGATAAGCTTCAGAACGTTCTAGAGTTGCCATGAGTGCGAGCGTAGGTATATACATAAGGCCGCTGCTACAGCGAAGTAAGTTAGTTGCAAGTCAGCAAGCTACAACACAAGTCAGTTGCGAATCAGCAAGCTATAAGTTCAGTTGTGTTAGCAAGTTTTGTAAAGTGTTTTAATTGCCTTAACAAGTATTGTCATTTGTTGTTATTGCATAAACAAGTATTGTAAAGCGGCACCTCCGATATAAACCGAACTCCTCTTAAATGGCTGGACCTATTCTACCGATTTTTTTGTGTGTGTTTGAGTGCGTGTCTGTTTAGTTTAGGTTCACAGTTTGACCCGCCAGGTGGCTCTCGATTCGAGTTATTACTAAATGCCGGCCAGGGAGTGAAGGGGAATACATTCTTCAAATTTAGTTCGGTGTGCGATTAACCGTACTATGAAACACTAGATTATTGGAGAATTTTAAGAACTTCTACACGGACATAGGGTGCATAAGACAGCAATGAAATATGCTTTCAGACGACCGCCAAACCATAATCTTGGCAGATAAATGTGCCACTGGAAATCGTGAACTTGAATTATTGATGAAAATGTTGGACCAAAATGTTTCAATAAATTAATTAATTTGGGCGGGACGAAGTTCGAAGGGTCTGCTAGTAATGTTAATAATAAGGTTCTGGTCTGGATAGAGAACTTGGTTAACTGATCTCGCAGAAAATGCCAGAGAACAGCCGCCAGGAAATGCATCAAAAAATGATAAGTCTTTGTATACAAAATGTTGTAGCTAGACTCATGATACAATCATTTTTAGAAGGTAGTTTCATTTCTTCTTCTTATCCGCCATGTTAGCTATCTGACACAAAACGTGTTTCGTATTTTTTGTTGTACCAACTTAAAAAAAAAAAATCCAGCTTTTGACGTTGGAAAAATAAAACAAAGAAAAGCCAAACATATACATATGTAAAGAAATTTTCGAATATTTTGTAATAATTTTCTTCATAAAAAATTAACTGCTGCTTTCGTGGATATTGCAACACACGGAATAGATGTGAGGACACAGCTATAAGAGCCACCGCACACCACAGACTTTATCGGCCGCCTATTTAAATGATAGGGCTCGCTTGAAATATGTACATGAAGATGTATGGAGGTGCGCACACTACACCAGCTTAATCGCTCTGACCAATAAGTTGTGGTGCAATGGAAAGACTAGCGAGCACATCTAAATTGGCGGCCGATAAAGTCCGTGGTGTGCGATGGATCTAATCCATTATAAACAAGAAATATTGCTGTTATATTTTCATTTTTATGATTTTTATTCATGTGATTAGCAGTGGCAAAATTGTATGTATAAAATACGTATATTTATATTAAAAATTAAGTGATCAGTTATGAAACATATAAATCTTTACATGATCTGTTAAAAAATATCTAAAATAACAAGCGATAATCCCCAAGTTCTATATCGTAGCAGTGGCCATATTGCGTGTTTGTCACAGACACGGTTTATGTCAATAATTTTGAAGTGAAACTACCTTCTAAAAATTATTGTATCATGGCTAGACTTTAAAAAACACATACCTAACTCACCCTCACTTAATATGAATTGCATTCAAAATACAGGTGTGCCCCATGGCGCATTCACTTTCAACGCTGGCTATCCGGTTGGCTAAGTGAACCATCACCAAATATGTCAGTTATGCAGTTTTCGTACGCAAAAGCCTACAAATAAAAAGTTGATGGCATAACAAAATGCATTAAGTTTATTAATAACTAGCAAACCCGGCGAACTCCGTTTCGCCACCAGATGGCTTCGTTTCTTGTAACATTTCGTTTGCACAATACGCGTAACTGATTTGATGGTTTCCAATTTAACTGTTAGGAAACGAAGAACTTAACCTCAATGTCACAATTTCACTATGGAGAGACTGGTGAATTTAACCTCAAATGCACGATCCAAATAATTTGCACAGTTCAACTTA